AAAAAAAAACGAGAATGAAATTATTGAGTGGACGAGCACGTTTTTTACACCGCCATCTTTGGCGATTTTTATTTTTTTTGGGGCTGTGAAAAATGACATGAAAATTTATGTATGTGTATCTTACATTTATGTATGTGTATCTTACATAATAGAGAATCTACAAATAAAGTTTGAAAAAATAATAATTTTTTCCGTGCCCCGAAATAAAGAAAAAATAAAAGGTGAAAAAAAAAATATATATGAAAAAACAAATTAATGAGTGGGCAAGCAAGTTTTGACACCACTATTCTTTCCGATTTTTCATTTTTTTTTTGGTTGAACAGAATAGCTTCAAAGTTACGAGGGACATACCTTACATCACAAAGAACTCACAAAAAAAAAATAATAATAATATTTAGGTGCCAAAATATTTTTTTTTGCAGGATCCGAACCCCTTCAGGTTCGGGCTCCGTACGGGGACTCGAACGTCCGAACGTTCAGGGGTCAACTTAGGGGTCTCCGTACGTTCGGCCTGACAACTATGGTTATGATTAAAATAATTATTTCTTTTAGTATGAAACAAAAGTTCGAGCTCTATGACCCGCTTTTAAACCATCAGTTTACACGAACTTGCATTAACGAACCAAAAGTTGCATTTTTCTTAGTATGACCAGATGAAAAAAAAATAAGGGTACCGATGGAAGCCTACCTTGAAACTCAATTGTTATATATCTTGTCAGCAGATGACACAAAAAAGACGGAAAAAAAAAGAACAACTATATCTAAATCAATGATGAACAAAGGTAATTGCTATTTCATGAAGAAAAAAAAAAAAAATGTCGGGAAGGCATCTAACCCAGACCGTACTCACAATAGTATCATCCAGAATGTATTTGACCACTGTCACAATAAAATCTTTGTTTTTTTAGTGCCATACTAGCAAGGCAGGGTGTATTCCACCTTCTCAGGAAAACCCCTCAGTGATGGTATACTCGCACTAGTACTTTACAAAATGTACTTTATTGCTATCACGGTCATATATTTCATCCCCCCCCCCCTCCCTCTCTTGTTCACATTTTCGTTAATGCCCTGTCTCATGACACACTAACATTACTACTTTTTATAATGTATTTAATGGACATTACGTCAAAATTTACCTTTGTTTTCCTTTTTGTTTTGGGAGGGAGAGGGCGTCTAAGTAAATAGTGCATTCAAGCTCAGTTTTTCGTTTGTTTTTTTTCCCCCGCCCAATTTTGCTTTCAATCTAGGTTGTTTTCTCTGCCCGTGCGGACAACGGAAGAGACGGTCGGGGGGTTATGTCAACTGGGATACTCAAGGAAGTGAAAGAGTATGGTCTTTATTTTATTTTATTTTTAATAGAGGTGTAAGTCTTACACACATTTGCAGAGGAGCCCGAATCTGGGTTCTTTTATTTTTCCGAGTGTTCGTTGCCAAGAGAGGGTAAGGGGGTTATAAAATGGTCTTAAAAGAGCTAAACGGGCTTAAAGAGGGGTACCTTAGTCTGCTTTTGTTATTTTGTTTTTAATTCAACGAGCATTGCATATGTAACCCTCAACAAAAAATTGTTTGTATTGCAAATCTACACAACAATGTCTGAAAACATTGTTTTTTTAATTTATTTTTACTTTTTTATATTTTTTTTCTATGTTACCAATGGTCCGGAGATCGGACGTCTCCCCCGGACGTCTCCTTGGACGTAGGGTACCCCCGTCGTCCGGATTTCCGGATGACGATTTTTTGGCACTAAAAAAAAAATAATAATAATAATAAATTATGACAGTGTTGCGCATGCTATAGAGACCCCCCATAAAAAAATTCAGAATTTTCTGAGCATTTGGTGATAGGGTGCTATTTGGGGTGGGAGGGGGGGGTACGAGGGGTTTTGGTGGGGATAGGAGGGGAATAGGTGGGGATTA